ACTCAATGGCACCTGACAACAACAACATAATCAGTTCATGTTCCTGAATAACTGAAAGGTTCAACACAAATATCATTAACATTGTTTACTTTATTCCTTCCATGAGGTGGCATTAGAACCATTTGACTCAAAGCAATTAGAAGAGAATAAGAAACTAAATGTCCTAGTCTGAATTTGTCTATGATTGTATATATTCTTCAAATAATTGTTTCCAATAGCTTCTAATCTCAGAAGATACAAAATATATACATGTATGCTTATATTTATGTAGATGCTGTAATATATATAGATACATTTATGTGTGTATATATATACACACATATGAGGGACCTTCAAAAAGTTCATGGAAAATTGGAATTAAAAGGTAATGGAAATTTTCCACATTTTTTAAAAGTCATCTTGTATATGTATATATAGATATTCTTTTTCTTTATTCTATCCTTAAACAATATTCATAAGAATTCTAGAAATACATGTTAAGCAGCTATTTACCCACGTTTTCTCAGGAACCACCAAGCCCTATCAATGCTTCCACTGTTGCATCCATGACGGTTCTTGGCACAGCAAGAGATCAAATTTTGGGGGGATAAGTTGGCTGTGTATCGACCGTTGGACTGAATTGCTATTCGGTCAGCTGCCACACCTGTTCCAAATAGAATATGAATTAATATTCAAATGGCACACTTTTTTTATATTAAAAAATACATACTAATTACTTTCTAAGCTAATTTTCACAACTTTACATGAAACCAGGTAATTTAAGATTATAAGACCAAATGTCATTAATAAATTTGTATATACTGATATGCTCAGCTGTCAATAATAAGTTCATGAGTCCATTCAGAATTTTCATTCAATTTCAGTTACTGTTCCATTATCTTACCAACTCTGAAAATTTTCTAGTTCTTTCTACTATTTGTATTCTGCAAACTTCTGAATTATTGGTTAAGAAATCCATCAACTGTTGAAACTCCTTACGAGCAAGGCCATATGTTATTATATTTGTATCCTCCCTACCTGGAACAATGGTATATTGCCATTGGTAGATTTACCTTTTAAAATTAATGTAACTAAACTGGGGAAATCAGGAAAACTAACCATATAAATGGAAATGAGGTGATTCCATCCGATAAGCACTGGACTGCAAACCACATGTGTGGTTTGAGCCACTAGTCTCTCGGCAGGAGAAAGATGAGGCTTTCTGCTCCCACGGAGATTTAAAAAGCTTTGGGAACCCTATACAGGGTCACTATGAGTCAGAATTAACTCTCTTAACAACAACACTAACAACAATAATATAATATTAACTGGAAAGTTACCCATAGTAACCTGATATTCTGGAGAAAATTAGTATTTACTTTAGCTGATATTCAATTAAACTACTTAGGAAAACATATTTAACCTAATCAGGATTAACATGGATTTACCAGCTGCTCCTCCAAAATCCTACACAGAGTTGCTATGACTTGGAGCCGATTCAACAGCACTTAACAACAATAACCATTTATAATATCTAAGATTGACAGCCATGATCCAAATCTTATTACAGTACATACAAGTTTTACCTTGTTTCATATATGAATGCTAACTTTTTTATGTTTGAACTTTTGATCCCTCTGTTTAGACAATGCTCTAGCACGTTTTTCATTAATCTGTTCATTTTGTTATATTGAGGACCTAATAGGTGACAGGAACTTTGATAAGCAATAGAAATTACAACAATTAATAAGAGAGACATAGCTCCCCCCTCATAGAATAATAGGAAAAATAATCAACAAATAGGAGAAAACTGTCCATGAGGTCACTTTGATCATGCTAGTTTTAATGCGATAAGATCATAAGAAAATTAAGGCAGGTGCAATTTGGTACATTTTTTTGTTGGTGGTGGCACTGTAGGATAAATACTGGACCATAAGTTCATTTTGATATGCAGGGTCAGCAGTTCAAATTTACCAACTGCTCTTCAGGGTCACTATGAGTCAGAACCGACTTGACAGCACTTAATAACAACCTGATATAGTCTTGTCCTTTATTAATTTTTAATTGAAGACATCAAATTCATAACATACCTTCCATATATCCAATTTTCTTAATGGAAGTTATAGTTTAGCTCATCAAAATTGCAAGTGTGTTGGACACCCTCAAGTAACTGATTTTAGAATTATGCTAAAATAATTTATTTGTAAACATGGTTGTGTATAGGCATGATTTTTATGTAATTACAGCATATGTAAGGATCCCTGGTTGTTGTTGTTAAGTACCATAAAAGTCTGTTCTGACTAGTAGCTGCCCTTTATAGGGTTTCTGAGGAGCAGCTGATGAGTTTGAACTGCTAAGCTTGTGGTTCACAGTCCAGCACCATACCAGGAGTCCGTGGAGCCATGGTAGTGTGGTGGATTCGGAACTGCTGCTAACCACAAGGTCAACAATTTGAACCTACCAGTTGCTCCACTGGAGAAAGATGTGGCTTTCTGCTCCCCTAAAGGTTTACAGCCTCGGAAACCCTATATACAGTCACTGATTCAATGGCACACAACTCCCAATAACCACCACCACCACAGCATATGTACAATTTTGTAGTGCATTGCTGACACATTTTAGAAGTTCGGTATGTACTGAAACTATATACAATCTCCCATTCCCATCTCAATCCTCATCTGTTATTTTGTTGTTGTTAAGTACTGTTGAGTTGACCTTGGTTCAGACCTGGGTTTTCAATGTGGAGGAAATTGTAGTCAAGAGTCTAAAGCCTGGCTTTTGAGATCATTTCTGATGCTCTGGTTTTGGCTTTGGTTAAGTCACTTTACCTATTTTTGCCTCTTTTATAAAATCAGAGCTTGAAAAGGTGATCTCTAAGACTTCTTTCAGCTCTACAAATCTGTACATTTCGACTGAAGGATGAATGTTTTAATTCTAATGTTATGCAATATGTTGCCCTTCTCATATACGAATCTTTGTGAAGGTTAAGTCCAAATTCACTTGAAATATTTAAACTCAAGGAATGCCTCAGTTCAACCAGCTGCTTTTTTCCCTCTCTTCTTGAAAACTTTTACTGAGCTATACCTCTGAGACACTATCATTTTCCCTGTTTATTTTATCCTGTCTAAATTTGTTCTGTGGCACGTAACACTCTTATCATTCCAAACACTTTCATCTCTTCAGTTTCTCACATTTCACTTGAATTTTATTTCGTTGTATCACTGTTATATGCAAGAGGCTTCAAAAAAGTTTATGAAAATATTCCATTATCATTCAATTCCATTTTTCCATGAACTTTTTGAATTCCCCTTATGTGTATGTATTATCTACTTATTTTTCATCTAAAGTAAGATAAGAACCCATTTGATACACTATTATTTGTTCTGTATCTCTACTTTTCATTATGTTAGCTTAATTAACTTTTTTTTTCCATAATGGGCAAAGAATATAAGGATTATGTAGCTGTGTGTCTATGTGTATTAAAGACTACAGATAATATTAATGAAGAGGAAGCTTAACATTTCTCTTGTTATCTGGTCTTCACTCTCAAAGGAGAATTGCATTGTGGTAATTTTTCTTTGTTACTTCTTTTATTGGCACTTTAATTCAAATTAGTCCTTGAAAATATGGATTAATTTTAAGAATAAAAATGGATGTTTATACAAGTGACTACATGCTTACATTTAAATATTCTGGTTTTAAAATCTTTTAAATAATGCACCCGACACTAGATGCAAAGAGGGAGTTTATAAGGAAAGACTTTAAATGACTCCATTACTTGCAGTGGAAAATGCCCAGGATGCAGCACAGTTTTTTTGATCCAGTGGGCCATGAGTCCATCCAGGCCACTTATAAGAAGCAGTAAAAAATTCTGGAAGATCAGTTGTTGCTGTCAAAGAAGCCTAAAGAGAAAGAAAAAGCAAATGTGTCACTTTCTCACATGTATCTCAATAGTTTTTGTAAGATAATACCATGGACTATTAGCTTTCATTTTTAAACTATTTTTACATTTAAAATTTGTGAATGGTATCTCTGAAAAGTACTAGTTGTATAGGATTACAATTTTGCTCTGTGTTAAAAATAACAAATGTTGGGAATGATATGATACTTCATAAGAACAGCAGATAGGATGCTTTTTCTGGATTACCAAATCATTCAATAATTTCAGCCATAGTTTCTGCCATCTTGCTTAGGAATTTTACTCATCCAAGTGAACAACTACATAATGTTATTTCAGTTTATCCTCAGAAAGAACATTTACTTGTCTACTCCTCATATTCTGAGAATGTGTGATTCTGAGATGAAATTAATGAAATAGTATATTTTTAGAACTATGTGTTAACACAGTTGGAGCACCAGGGAACACAAGAATTTTGCATTAGCTATTGGGAAACAAGCTGGGGAAACTGATTGGTATCTATAAAATCCTCAAAGATTAAAAAAAAAAAAACTTCAGGAAGTTTGCAAGGTCCAGCAATGCCGTCCTAGCTTATATAGTCCATGGCAACATTGTTGTTGTTGTTGTTGTTAAGTGCCGTTGAGTCTGTGCTGACCCATAGCCATCCTGTGTAGAGTTCAGCTGGTTAGCTTGAACTACTGTCCTTATGGTTCAAACCGACTTTGCAGTCCAGCGCATTAACCCACAGTGCCACACCAGCTCTATACTGAATGAGAAAACTACTTTCTAAAAGTTAAATTGATATGCCAATGTCCCTCAGGTAAACAAGAAATGATCCTGGAATTAAACCAAAGTTTGAGAATCTAACATCAAGTTTTGTTTCTATCATTTCCCTATTTTATCAGAAAAACACAGATGCTTTGTACCAGATGGAAAATGTATGTGAAAGCTAAAATTTCACCTATTTAAAAGTCTTCATGAATATTAATTGAACAAGTCAGTTTTTTAAACAATCAATATCTTAAAAATATAAAACAAAAAGAAACCTACTTTTGACAAGTAGATAATAGCTTCAGAGACTGAAGCAAAGAACTTGCAATTTATACATCTTCTTGAAAAAATACCATTCCAAAATAATATGTGAGTTGTGATTTTAATGGGAGAGTTCTGAGTGGATTTAAAGAATTATTATCATCTGATAAGAAATTTATTGAATCCTGGGTTCCATTACTAAAAGAACAGCTTAAATCAAATGAGTTTAGATTCTGATACAATTAGGTGGACCACAGTAAAGAACTTGTGGTTGGAGTAGAATTAACTGGCTGTTTTGAGTCAATTGTTTCAGGCTCACTGTACAAAGGAATTTTTATAATTGGAAAGAAATTCACATTGTTTATACATTGCTCATACATTCAAATACTACAAATAATGACTTAATAGTATGATCTGAAGCATTTGTTACCTCGAGTTTTGAGAAAAATAGGTGGGTGTCAGTTATTATTTTAATTTATTACTTTATAATTTGAATTTAATAACATGGCTAGCATATTTCTCTTGTGCTCTGTTGAAGCAATAAAGATATAAATATTGTTTCAGCACATTTCAGTAGGGTTCAGCCATTTAGAATTTGACTTTCACATTCCAAAGCCTATCAAAGTGCTTTGTACATTGGAAGGCATTCAATAATTATCTAATGCAATGATGAGATACATATCTATCTCTTGTAGCTTTGAGTAGGTTTGACCTCTTAAAAAATTATATTTTGTTTTCCTGATGGGGACATAAAAGTAATTTATAATACCAGCATGCATTTCTTGCTTTTATGATTTAGTTTTCAAAAATACAGACTACGAATGGCTAATACTTCTCAATATGATAACACAATAGAGAAAAATAAGCAAAATGACATTTTTATTAAAAACGTATTTTACAATCCCACTAAACCAGAAGATCAATTCATGAAGCTCATTTTTCAGGATTTAAAAAAAATTATTTAATATTGCTTCTTCTGAAAATAGGCCCAGGCAATTGAGGTCAAATAGGTACACATCACCTTTTAATTTTCTTTGCCTAATGATTTAGGATACTCTGATATAATGAACACAGAGCTAGTTTTATATCCCATTTTTCCATAACTAGTCCAGTCTTCTGCAAAGTAATAGCATTTTTCAAGAGTTTATAATTAAAGATAAGCTTCATAGAATAACCATTTTTAGGGATTGATAACAAAAATCTAATTTCAAAGAATAATAGGATTTTTTGAAAACATAACTTAATAAAGTAAGAAAACTAAGAATTAGTCAAAAGTGACAGAATGTCCAAAATGATAATGGCTTGAATAAGATAGAAGTATATTTTAAAAGGAGAATTACACTATTCCATGTTCATGGAAGCAGCAATCAAGAAATCAAACTAGGTATTACATTTGGCAAATCTACTGCAAAGTGTTACAATGTAAAGATACCATTTTGATGACTAATGTGTGCCTGACCCAAGTCATGGTCTATCCAATTCACCTTATGTGCTAGTGAAAGGTGGACAATAAAAAAAGAATACACAAGAAGAATTGATACATTCTACTTTCAGGAGGGAACAGTCGCTGGAGAAGGATGTCATGCTGGGTAAAATGGAGGGTCAGAGAAAAAGAGGAAGACCCCCAACGAGATGGATCAGCCAGGTGGCATCATTGATGGCATCAAGTGTGGCAGCGGTAGTGAGGTTGACCCAGGATTGGACATTGTTTCGTTCTGCTGTGCATGGGGTCACTATGAGTCGGTTCTGACTCCATAGCACCTGACAACAACAACAACAACACTGTGGTATTGGCAAAGAATATTTAAATACCATGGAATCCTGAATTGTTAACCAGTGGTCAGCAGTTCGAACCTACCAGTTGCTTCTTGGAAATCGTATACAGGATTGCTATGAGTCAGAACCAAATGTTGTTGTCAAGCGCCGTTAAGTCAGTTCCAACCTATAGCAACCCTGTGTAGGGTTTCTGAGGAGTGGCTGGTGAGCTTGAAACACCAACATTGTGGTTCAAACAACTTTGCAGCCCAATACATTAGCCTACAGCACCACACTTAACAACAACAAGCAGAAAAAATTTTAAATCAGTCTTAGAGGAAGCATAACCAGAGTGCTACAACAAGGGAAATCTTCATTGAAATGGACTGTCAGCACAGCCAAACAGTGGTTTCATCCATATTAAGGATCATGAAGATAGAGCAGAATCAGGCAAGGTTTTGTTCTCTTACACTTAAGGTTGGAATCAACTCAACAGCAATTAATGGTAACAACACCCCGTACCATGTGAGAATTTTTCATTCTATTCTTGTAATTTTTAAAAACTTTGAGTTGTAATCTAATGTTTCAAAAGGAATATTGATAAAATTTAAACAGTCTTTCTCCTTCAATGTTTCAATTTCAGAAACAAAGATTGGAGATAATTCTATATCTTTTAATTCCATTTTTCGACAAATATTTTGAAGCCCCCTTATATAAGAATTGAACTCCTGCTGTGGCACTGTAGGATCAGCACTAGAGTGTGAATCACAAGGTTGGCAGTTCAGACCTACCAGCTGCTGCTTGTAAAAGCTATACAGGGTCACTACAAGTCAGAACTGACCTGACAGCACTTAACAACAACATACAAGAATTAAATGCAGTGATGAGTATAATCATTTTTCACAAAAATCCCTGTATTTAATTGACTCAATATCTCTAAAAGAAGTTTTGGAAATAGAATCACAGAGCAACTTAAGAAAGCCTGACCAAATGTTTCCAGAGCATCAGAATAGAGTGTGGACATTCTTATCATGAGTCCATGTCCAAAAAGTACTACTATATGAATCACTCCTTCTATCACCAGCTATACTTTCTCCTACTTTCATTTGAAAACAGAGTGATCTGAAAATAAAATTTATTTAAAAAAAAACACAGAACATATCTTGTGTTCTGATCTTCATAAACCAAGATCTGTGATCATGGATACCAAGGAAATTATTCTAAACTGTTTAATGTTAGAGAGGAAAGAGATCATTTTGTGGTTCCAAATGACTAAATAAATTCCTCATATTCCACAATATAATATTTCATGCCTTAACTTTTCAAGAGTCATACTTCAGTAATTCTCTAGCTTTCATTTATAGAGTAATTTTTAATAATGTACAACTTACAAATATCAATATCCAGTGGTCATGTTATGGCATAATTTTAGCTGTTTTCCTGTCCTCTCCTTTCTTTACAGGCTCTCCCTTTCTTCATGTTGTTGTTGTTGTTGTTGTCAGGTGCCATCGAGTCGGAACCGACTCATAGCGACCGCATGTACAGCAGAACGAAACAATGTCCGATCCTGGGCCAACCTCACTACCGCCGCCACACTTGACGCCATCAATGACGTCACCTGACTGATCTATCTGGTTGGGGGTCTTCATTCAGCATTCTCAGACTTAGAAAAAGAAGTCTATTTCCCAGTTCCGTGCTAACGGTGTTGGTGTTAAATGGCAGCGAGTCAGTTTGGAATCACAGCAACCCTGAATCATTATGTTGTTGTTATTTTGTGTCACTGAGTCAGTTCTAACTCACAGAGACCCATATAGAGTTCCTAAGGGATGACTGGTGAGTTTTGAACCACTGACCTCGTGGTTCAAACTGGCCTTGTAATCCTGTGCTTATCCTACAGTGCCATACTAGGACTTCTGAATTATTATTTTACCTTAGAAATACAGGCTTTGGTCAATGGAGTAACAAAAAAGAAAAACTCTGAGCATCCCCAGAGAGTAATTCTAGTTTAGTACTGTTCACCTTCAGATTTGTTGGTGAGATCAATTTCTATCTTATTCAATTCTTTGTCATTTGGAGTTTCTTTCACTCTCTAGGGAGCCTAATCATTTGTAAGACAGCAGACATAAATGATATCAACTTATTTCAGTGAACCTAGGACATCAAATTTAGGAAACACCCTGAGTTCAAAGGTGTTATAAAGTAAAAGAAAATGTGTGT